AGGAATGTTATCTATTGTATTTCTACTGGATTTACACACTCACGCATAATTTTCTGAATCTGCTTTGTGGTTTTGCTCCCTATTCCTTTGCATACTCTCTCTCTCTCTTTCTCTCTCTTTCTCTCTCTTTGCATTTATTACTAACTTCAAGCCCTGTCTCTTGCTCACGGACTGTAGCGCTTAAAGGCTGAGCTGAATGATATGCACCCAAAGGTGGACTCTGTGCGTGACCAGGCGGTAGACTTGATGACAAATCGTGGAGATCACTGCAGGAAAGTAATAGAGCCTAAACTGTCAGAGCTCAACCAGCGATTTGCAGCTATATCACAAAGAATTAAGAGTGGAAAGGTAGGAGGACTTCCTTTCATATGAAGATGCATACAAAATGGTATTTATATAAGGTCCACAATTACAACTACACAGTGAGCTGCAGTTTCTCCAAAAACTAAGCTTTTAAAGAAAAAAAATGTAGATCCTAAGAATTTATTTTATTAAAAGTGTGAAAGTTTAGGGGGTTTGGCATTAAGGTCTTTTTTCACTGTTTCACAATTAGAAGTATTTGCTGACTTCATATGAATGTAACAATGATTACTTCATCACCTTACAAAGAATGAGTAACATCGAGAATCTGTTAGATTCTTAATCTTACCAAGATTTTTAATCTTTTCAAAGTATGGGTGGTCTTTTTTTAATATAGAGAGGCTTTGGGGGGCTAATTTTTCATTTAATGCACCCAGTCTTTTCCTATGAGTGTGCGACTCACAAAAGTTTGAGAAATAGACATATAGATAGAGACTGTATAAATTACACTTCAGCTGATCATCTGTACCACTAGTTTGGCTACTGAATCTGAATTCAGTATGGATTAGGTAATTTTTAGTTGTGATTTCTTAATTGGAATGAGGGAGGATGTAAACCACCTCCTTTCTGCATTGTATTTGCTGCCTTTATTGTGGAAAGCTATTCAGCAGATTGAAGCAGGCAGCCATGCAGGTCGGTATATAGGATAATGGGAATGCATGGATCCTGATCTTAGTTCTTTGCTGGATAATGTAATAACTGGCAACGAATGCACAGAGGATCAGTGGCAGAGCAGGAAAGTTTTGAAAAAAGCATAAGCAAGGAGACATTGTTTTCCTCATTTATTTGGGGGTTATGCAGGGCTCAATACCTCGTGTAACTAGTACATTCATTGTGGATATTTATTTAGATTTTATTTCTGGAGCAGGAAAGAATATGTCCTATGAATGAAGGTAAATTTTTTTTTTCCCTATTGGCCATCAGTAGGCCTTCAGATGTTCCATTGTGATGCTCCTCACTTGCTTCTTACAGAAGTACAGACTGTAGACAGAGAACATCTTGGCACAAAGCCCAAACAACTGTGCTGTGTGACATTTTTATTTTGAACATCTGCTATCTGCAGGCTGTATTTCCTTCTCAGTTTTACCTTTCACTTCCACAATGCTGTAAGCAAGCATACAGGGCTGATACAGCCTTTGATAGGGTTGTATGAAATTATTGCTTGTCTTAGGGAACAATGGGACTGCCTGTAGATGGTTTATCAGGGGTTAACTATTTGCATTGCGTGTTGTGGGCTCACTCAAAGAAGGGAAAAGATGCTTATCAAGATGAAGTATGTTCAGAACACAGCCTGCAAACACCTTCCACCTGGCAGTCCTCTCTCTCATGCGTTTTCCTGTTTACAATTGTAGATGAGCTGGAAATGATGAGCTGGAATGGCAGCAACTCACTAAGCTTTATACACTCTGTATCTAGCAAAATGAGAGGAATTACTACAACACATAATTTTACTGGTCAGTTAGAAATTAAAGGACCTTTTCCAGGACCTTGGGAATGGATAACCAGGGTATGATTCAGAAAGGATATCTATAGTAATAGGTATTGTGTAAGTAAAAGCTTGCCTGAATTCTTAGTAGTTCTACTGATTTTCTGTATGCGTTTGGATAAAGGAATAAATTGTTGGGTTCCTTGTTTTGCCCACCTGTGTAATGTAGGTAACTGTGTTTCCCTTAGTCACGATTTCAGCTTCATGGCCTGAAAAAAATATTATTCTTACAGGGTGATACATTGCTTCCTAAGTGTTTTGGGGTTTTTCATACTTTGGTAAATTTATTCACTTGGTGAATAACAGATTTAAAAAATCAAATTAAGAAGATAGTAAGCCCTATTATCAAATTAGCTATATTTTTTTTCAAATACTAATTGTCAGTACAACAGTGAAGTAAATAAGAAATGACCTGTGAAGTTAATAAAAGTTAGTACATAATTGTTGTGTCCTGAGTTAAAAAAACTATCAGAGTGTGCTAAAATGAGATTTAACATTTTCGATTGGTCATTGAACGTCATGCAATATTTGGTATATATTTTAGCATTTCCCTTCCATATTCCTTTTTGTTATTGTTTTTAACAAGTATCAGGGATTAGTAGTTCTATATTCCAGCTTTATTAGTTGATTCATCTTTTAGTGAGATTTAAGTATTTTTTAAGACATTCTTCAGAGCATTTGAGAAGAAATTACTATGTAGTTTACTATTATTTCTACCTCAGTTGATGTGCTTGATGAATGTAATTCTGAGCTTCTTGATGAAAGTTTGCAAGCACAGTATGATTTTTCCATAAATATCGTACATTATTATATTTCCCTTAATGTTTGTAAGTGCACAAAATCTTTGTCAGTAAAACAATCGACCAGATACAATTAAGGCATTTTTACCCTAATTCTCCCGGGTCTTCCATTGAACAGCTGAGAAGAGATTACAGTTGATGTCCAGTACCTCTTGTTTTAATTGATTAACTTTGCTTTTTACAATCTTTATAACAAATTTTTGCTTAGCAATACCAATTGTACTGGAGGGAAGAGTGAAAGAGAACTGATGAGAATACAGTGTGCTGATATCTTTAGGAAGAAGACAGTTGTATGTCCAAGAATTCCTATAATATCATAAAGCATTAATTACCTTTAATTCTAAATTTTATGCATCAATCATTAAGAATTTGTTGTTTGTTCTTGTGTTTAAAGCTTTGAAATAAGACATTTTTCTGTTGATTCTTTGCAATGCAGTTAATAAATATATTAAATAAAGAAATATTTTTAGGGGAATATCTTACACAAAGGTTATCTGTCTTTTGCTTTGTATAGTTCACCTGGCATTTTTGCTATTCTTTGTGAGAGAACTGTGATTTTGAAACTCCAAAACAAAATTATTATGAAATTTTCCTGACTTGGTAGTAGTAGTGGGGTTTTTTTTTAGCAGAATGGTTTGCTTGTTGCTGTGTGAGTAATTTCTGACAAACCAGATTTAGCCAAGTAATCTCAACATTTAAGTTTTTTACACAAATCACTACGTGAAACTGCTAATTACACATAAAGGTGATATTATTTTTTTGTTTCTTTTAAATTTTCACTTACCATAGAGTTCTTACATTTGCTTATATGGAAGTTCCACAATATTGTTGAACACTTACCTTTTATCTTTTGGTACTTTGAGATGTATGGTGTAGATATTTTTCCACATGATGGAAAGTCTAACATTGTTTTAGCAATAGGGGGTAGAACAGATTTCTCTTTTCATTTATGTTTCTAATAAAACTATTAAGTATGTGATTTAAATAAATAATCTTTCTATTTCTTCCATTTTAGCCCTTCATTCCTCTGAAGGAATTGGAGCAATTTGACTTTGATATAGAAAAAATGCTTGAACCACTGGAGGTTGAAATTCAGCAGGGGGTGAATCTGAAAGAGGAGGACTTCAATAAAGATATGGTAATTTGGTTGAAATGGAAGTCTGAGAGAAGTAGGCAGGCAGGTGAAAAAAAAAAACTGAGTGAAAAACTCATATATTTTTGTTGAGACATTTAGATATGACTTCCACAAAATTTTAATGTTAATAAAATCAAAAGTCCCAAGTTAGCATTAACTAAATGTTTTAGAAATAAGTTAATTATTAGTTTATAAGGAAAGATTTTGACCCTTGTGAAAACACTAAACAAAACAGGAATATTATCTATATTCCTGTTTATATATATAGGGTACTATACTAGTAACAGCAATATTACAAAATAGGGAATGAATATTAAAATCTCTGTAGCAGTACAAATACCAAGAAATATCCAAATGATGTATCTAAATGGGCAGTATAGTAGAAGATGACATTCACTAAAAACAAATGCTAGACAATGATCATTGAAAGAAATGCCACTTTCCAATTCTTAGCTGACCTGATTATACCATTTATTGTAAATAGTTTATGTGGCTGTGGTAAAATTTATTATTCATGTTTGCTTTCTGCAAGAAAACCATTTATGCATACTAGGAAAGGAACAAAATAAAAGAGAGGGGAGTAAAGTACTGCTGTGCTTTGTTACTGTTGCCACTGTGGCATGTTTTCTCCAGGGTGATTTCAGAGACATGACATTGCTTTGGCTGTGCAATATCAAAGATTCATCTTTAGGATCCCGTCTTTGTGAGTCCTCAACAAGACCAAATACTTATTTCTTTACAAGCAATACAAAGAGTCAATATCTTTTTTCTTTTTAGGAATTGTTCAAAGATAGGTATTTTATATCAGTGCTGAAAAAAAAGATTTACAGGACTTTTTTTCTTCCTTTTTTTTTTTTTATGCAGGAAACAAAATTTAAAGCAGTCTGTACTTCAGTGGTAAATTCTAAGTAATCAAGTTCAACGGGATGGTTTCCATTACTTGAACGTATTTTGTTCTCTTTCTTTACATAAAATTTGTATTGTAGCTTAAGATACACTCCCAGAATCTCTGGCGTAGATTTGACTTCTATGTAAAAAGCACTTAGTGGTATTATTTTCCCTGCCAGAATAGTTGGTTTGCATTGTGATGATACATGAAATGGTCAGGAATTACATGGCCTACTAGCATACTGGCAATTTCAGTGGTTACGAGCTGTGATTTAGCATATTTTATATATATCTATTATTTTTGTTTTAAAGTGAAATGTATTTGCCTTCAGTGTTTTCATCCTCATATTCTGGATGATGCATAAAATTTAATATCAAACATGTCTAGGTTTTTAAGTTATGTTTTACTTGTATCCCTCAAGTGCCTTCATGTGTGTAGAAAGCAAGTAAAAGTTATTCGGTCATCAGTATAGAACTGAAAGTATTAGTTACATTATTACCTTAGCAGAGGAAGTGTAGTTTCATAAGCCTGTATCTCCTAGTACTTAGGTAATAATTAAATTAAAATACCCATTATACTTCTTACTCTTTTTAAATCAGAGCGAAGATGACGAGAGCACAGTGAAAGAATTGCTGCAAAGGGGCGACACACTTCAAAAGAGAATCACAGATGACAGAAAACGGGAGGAAATAAAGATAAAACAACAGCTGTTGCAGACTAAACATAATGCTCTCAAGGTATAGGAGCTACAGTTGTAACCACATGCTACTAAAACCATCTTTTTTCTTCATTTCAGAGCATTGTTCTGTTAAATTAATCTTCATTAATATTTAGAGATGAGTAATTTAAAACTATTTGGCTATAAATATGTATTTTCTTACATACTTCTCTTGAGGCCTTGGAAAAGACATTTCAAATCTCCAGCTTAACAAGTACTGTTTTGTCCTCAATGTTACAACCATGTGATTGCCAGCAGGGCAGCAATGATGTGGTAGATGGTAGTGCCAATAGACCTAGCAGCTAAGAAGCTGAAAACCAAAGTCACGTATCAATATTCTGTGCTACCACACTGCTGGAGGTATAACTCTATAATACTCATACACAATGAGACCTGTTTGGACAAGCTGATAGTCATAAGTGTGAGTGTCATCCTTCCAGAGAACAAGTGAGGAAAAAAGGAATCTTACAGTTGAAGATTTGACATTGGTTGCCTATCTGGAGCCATAGACTCCAGCTACAATGGTAGGATTTTTCACCTCATTGGCAAGCAAAATTTTTCTTTTGAAAATTTTAAGTTGTTCTTGGCTCAGGGCACATGGTATGGTTACATTTTATTATTACTTACTTTCAAGCAGCATATTTTGTTTCCTTTAATTTAATTTTAACTTTTACAATTTTGCAGATCTGTTTTAATTGAGTAAAAGAATAGCTGGAATACACCATTGTTTTACCCACATATAAAAGAAATTTTAAATCGATTAGGTGTGTCTTTGACTGTTCCAAGCTAAATGAAAGTAATTAATAATTTTTATGGGGAAGAAACAAGGAAAGTGTTTTTAGAACTGTGCTGTTAACCAGATCCTTACTGGCTATTTTTGTGGAATAGAGTGATCAATTTCCCTGTGAGTGACTCAGTTAAGACATTCAACCTGGTCAACTAAAATTCAAGAATAGTTGAGGCAAGTTCATCTGAATATTTTCTTTAAAGTGTATAGCTAATTTTTTAATTTAATTCTTAATAAGAAGTTACAGTAATGTAAATATTTTCTGAATTCTGTATGAGTGAAGTTAAGCCACTAAAGAAAATGTAGTATATTTTATAATATTTATATGAAATATTTTTTACCTTCCTATCAAAGTTTTAATACTTTTATAAATCTAAGTCATAAACACAAGACATTTGATACATAAATGGTATCTAATTTAGAAAAATGAAACCAATTTTTGGATACATTTCTGCATTGAAATTATTTTCTTCTGAATAGCTGCTTAGTTTGCATGCAGGCTAGAATTTCACAGGACACCACAAAACACAGGAAGCTCACTTACAGCTAGATACTAAGTAGGCTGTGTTTCCATCTGTCCAGTAAGTATCCTGAACAGAAGTGTTTTGTATGAAATATTGACATTTATGTAAGAGTCTTAACTTCTCAGAATACTGGTGACTGTCTCAGTGGTTTATTCAATACGTGAACAACCCTGAATTAGGTAACCTCCCTTAAAAGGAAAAGTAATCTGTTAAACTGATGAAAAAAACCCAGTGTTCACTTACTTACATGCTGTTACACCGAGGAAAATATACTGTGTTGAGATGCTTACATTTGATTTAAACTTCAACAGTTATTAAAGAAATAGTGGCCCTGTGCACTTTTTTTCCCCCTTCAGTGTGCACACATGCCAATTCATATTTTATAAGCCTTTAATTCATATTCTAATAATGTCTGCACTGTGAACAGGACTTGAGATCTCAAAGAAGAAAAAAGGCTTTAGAGATTTCTCATCAATGGTATCAGTACAAGAGACAGGCTGATGACCTAATGACATGGCTGGATGACATTGAGAAAAAGTTAGCCAGTCTACCAGACCACAAAGATGAGCAGAAGCTAAAGGTAATGTTATTTTGAGATGGCAATGGTAGATCTTTTGGAGTGTTAGTTTATCAGTTTAAAAGACATGCAACAAATATTCCAATAGATAGAGGAAAGTATCGGTTCAGTTATCTATTTATAGTAAAACAAAGCCTAATCTGTTTTCAAACTGACATTTCTTTGTTGTTCTATATTTTGTATTTTTTTATACAGAATTTTATATAAATAGTTTTAAACACACTAAATACATTTTCTTTGTCAATAATATGGAAAGTGTGCAATGTATTAAGAAACATCAAATGTTTTCTAGTAAAAATTGTAATTGATTTTATGTATCTTTGTTCCAGATGAACAAATGACTTACCGATATTCGGATGACCTCTATCTCATGTTAGCCCATTCATTTTCATCAGAACACATTCATATGTCACTGTCAAACTCTATAGATTTATTTCATACTGTCAAAGGTTTTCCTAGTTTGTTTTGCATCGTCTTTCTTTGCTTCATTCTCTGTTGAGTTTCCCACAGAGTAAAATAGGAATTAAATAATATATTAAAGAGTCAAATAGTATATTTATAAGATGTCCAAGCACTATTTGTCCTGAATATGCTGACCCTTACTGAGAAAAGAATTTCTCCAATTGCCCATCCCAGTGTATTAGCAAGAATCTGGAATTGGAAACTACTGGCCTTTGCTAACTGGTTTTCAGTGAGTACTAGCTGTTAGTACCTCTACGGCCGATCTCCAAGACGGTTCTTCAATTTCAGTTATTTTTTGTTTTGTTTAAATGTAAAATAAGACACATGAAATAGCTGTAAAAATGGTAACAATAAAATGGAAATGGAATTTCTAACAGAATTATTTTGCTAATTTGAAGTTGATTGATCTAGTTAGCTAACTGTCCTGGGCCCTGTATTGGTTTTGCTCACCAGGAGATTGATGGAGAATTGGAGAAGAAGAAGGAAGATCTGAATGCGGTGCACAGGCAGGCTGAACGCTTGTCTAAGGATGGGGCGGCAAAAGCAGTGGAGCCAACCCTGATACAGCTCAGCAAGCGCTGGCAAGATTTTGAGAGCAAATTTGCTCAGTTTCGAAGACTCAACTATGCACAAATTGTGAGTTGTTACTGGCAAACCCATATGTTTGCAACTGCTACTACTAACAGCATCCTACTAACAATGAAAGCTTCAGGGTCCATGTCAACTATTCAGCTATTAATAAGAAAAACCCTTTTGTCTGCAAGTGGGGGAATCTTTGTATTATAATACAATAGTTCTCTGTTTTGCTCTTAAAATTGCCCTTAAGTTAAATCAGCTAATTAAAAGAACAGAAACAAAAACAAAACAAAACCAAAAACCTCGGCAATGAAAAATTCACGTTTATTTCTGTTGCCTCATTATTTTTCCATAACATCTCCCAGTTTAAAAATGTCAGTTTGCCATGCATTTATTTTTTTCAGTGAACATGTAAAACAGAAAAAATTGTCTTTTTCAAACTACCCATCCCATGCCAATTTTAATTGTTTTTTTTAATATATTCATAACATGTTATACTCACTTTAGGAGGAGATTAAAAAAAATTCTTATGACACTATATTATGACACTATGTATACATGGTCTCTTCTTCAAATGCTTGAATTCTCAAATGAATTTGTGCAAGAAAGTGTACTCTTAAATTGGACAGGATGAAAACATAATTTTATGAACCAGCTTCATGTCTCCTGAGTTGATTAATTGTACATAAAATATAATTAGTCTTACTGCTTTTCACATGCTGCAATAACTGAATAAATAAAAGGGAAATAAACTGTCACTATCCCAGGTTTATGGTCAAAATACGTATTGGGTGTTACCCATTTAGAAGGTTACCAGAGATTGCTTTTTCAGTTACATGGTAGTTTTTCCTTGCAATTCCTACTACTCTGCTCATTGTCTTCTGGTCCTTTGATTTTATGTGAGGAAAGATAATATTTGCTCTCAAGGAAGTTGTTGCATTATCTGCTCTTCTGTAATCTTAAAAGTGCTAGTGCTAAAGGGGTGTTTCAACAAAATAGAACTTTATTTATATAATTGTAAATGTATATAGATTGCAGAGGGGACCTACTGACATGATAATGAAAATTTAAACACATGAAGTGTTATTTCCAACTGATACATGGTTGACTATGTTTTAAAAAAGAAAAAACAAGTTCCAGAAATCATCGACAATGTATAACACTTTGGTCAATACAGTCCTCTCTTTAATGTACTCAGTGTATTGTTTATTTTTAACTTTTCTACTATTAAGTTACATAATGTATATATGAAAATAATAATTGAGATAGCTATGCAGTTAATGAAAACAGCAGAGAAACATTAACTTTGGGTTGTATGTTATTAAATCTTGTTTCATCTGATTACTCTTTTCAGATTACTATGGTTCATATTAGATTTGATGGATGTAATTAGTTGCAAATCGTTTATATTGGCATGGAGCTAGAGCAGGCTTCACTTTATCTTGTAAATCAGTCTCTTTTTTTAATGAATGTATTTGTTCCTTTGATAATCCAGTAATAGATAAGAATGTTTATGCAATTTATATAAAAACACTCGGCTGTCAATGTGCTTTTTATGTCACTCACCCCATGACAGAGAGTTAGTACATCCATCATACGTTTTTACTAGCAAATCAATAAAACTATATATTAGTATATTTTTCTTAATAATATGCAAGGTAGATATATCAGAACATGTGCTTTTGAATTACTCAAACCAATACAGTCATCAACTTTTTAAAGCCATGTGACCAATGCATGTATTTTTATTGTTAAAATACACTATTTATATAATATACTTCTATGCTTGTAGTGGCTAATTTTTTTTTTTAATTCTCAAATATTTAATGCAGGAAGGTTACTTGTCAGTATTCATCTGGGGAATGAGGTCATTATTCAATGAAAGTTACATGTGTACATGATAATTACTGTATCCTTAGCATTTTTCATTAAAAATATCTTTTCAATGACCAAGGTGATTTTCAAATATTTTAGAAGTCTTAGAGAAGCTAGTGAAACTGGTGAAAGGCAGTTTCATGGCTCAGATCAGTGAGAAGTACAACTGCCTTGTTATTGTTTTGGCTTTGCTGAATCAGTGAAACAAATTTAATTTCTCTGGAGGTTTGTTTTTTTTTTTTTCTTTTTTAATACAGCCTACCTACCTCACAGGGATGTTGTGAGGATTAATTAAGCATTTGTGCAAGACTTTATAATACAAAAGAAAAATGAAAATTCAAACTATTAACTTGAACACATGCATATACCAGCAAAAATAACTTTCACAAACACTTTCTATGTTAACCACCAAATGAATAAAACCATATAAGAAAAATACACAAGGAATTTCTTTTTAAAGTAAAAGAAATAGAAAAGTGCTTCATTTTTTATTTATAAGTGATGATGTATTCATTAACAGATCTACTTAACATTTGAAAGTACTTGTCATTATAAACCAATGAGGATTTAGTTGTACTGTATATCTTGCAATTCATTATGATTCATTGAATAAACGTAGCAAGATTACATTGAAGAAGACCTTTAATTATGTGGCTTAATGACAGATTTTCATTTCTTAGCTTTCTTGGAGCTTATGTATTTTGGATATCAAAGTGTGGAATTAGAATAATCATGCTCCCCTGGTTTTTACTTTTCCCAATTATTTGGTGGGAAGACCTGTCAGAAGGATATAGGAGCCATAACCACATAAGAATTGACTAACTCTAGCATGGTAGATTCCCACAAAATTCTGCTTGTCTCAGAATACATAGCAGTAAATATCCAGCAACTAACTGACAAATACTTATGGGGTATCTACACATGAAAAGGAATTTTCTCTCACCAGTTTTAATAATAAGGTATGTTGTAGGTATATTACTTCAAACGCTGCATGTTCTGTTTAATGCCAATTTTGAAGCATTGTTCAATTTGGTGTAGTGGTCATCTCTTTACGTGAAAATTGTCAGAGAGTAACATGTGACGGTCTATAAAGAAGAAGGTGGGTTTATCACAGTACCATATTAAACATGGTACATAAATACAACTACACAAAACCTAAATGACACTGAGTAAGAAAAAAGTTTTGGAGTTCAGGTTGTCTTACAAGTTTCTTCTTCCACCTGGTGTTTTTATTCATATCTGGCAAAATAAACAGTGGGCAGAAAATTCAGTTTTTCAGTCGGCCAGATTTCTGATTCCTGTGTTAAGAAAATTTTTAATGTTCTACTCCATTTCTGCTAAAAATTTCCATTTGAAATCAGTTGGTAGTAATTTCAGTTGTAAAATCTGAATAACTTATTAGAGTGGAATATTTTACCATCATGTTTTAAAATTACGGTTACCATCTAAATCCCACTGAAACACACAGAAGATTAAGATGCTCTTCAAACAACAAGCCATTAAAGTTTATTCCTATGTTTTTGCATATTAAAAATATGTTTGTCCTTAAAAAAATTAGTGTCAGTAAAAATGATAACATTAGAGAGGTTAAGGGACAATTATTTCTAGATTATCTCTGCAGAATTTAAACTCACCAAGATTTGGCAGTCACAATGTTTTCAAAAAAGTTATCAATCTCCTTTGCTAAATCTTCCAGTTACTACTTTTCTGCAGCAGTTTATGCCACTGTTCCAGGGCGATGAATGTAGCTATCTGTTGCAGACAAAAAGATAGATTCAAGTAGTTTAATTCAGATCAGGATCAAAATAAGTTATTGATTTATTTATTACATTTAATTAAATTAGCTTTATTTAATGCCTGTGTTATAGATTTTTTTATACCCATGCTTTCATTTCAGCAGTCTCTGAGCATGTTTATGTCATGTGTCTGTTCAGATTTTATTGAACTAACTGAAATCTCACTGCATGTACTGAAGGCCTTAAAAAAATCATGAGAAAAACATTTTCTAGATGAACACAGATGCAGAGCCTACACTACGAATTCTTATTTCATATGTCCTGTTACCATATTTTATCAAGTTTTCCGACATTCTTTCTGCACTCACATATGGTCATTATTTTCTTTTCCTTTCTTGGCTGAAAAATGCATGCTCTAAATAGTAAGCTAGAGTATTTTTAGGACAAAGGGAGTATTGTTCTTGCAGCCCAATAACAGCTGTAAAGATTATGTACCTATTGATGCATATGCAAGTAAAAAAATAGACTTACCTAAATAATTTCACTAATTTCATTGGTGGCACAGAGAAACATTCTATTGAACTTCATGGTCATTTTATTACTGAAATACTTGGGCCTGGATTTTGGCCATACAGGGAAAAATTATAAACATCAGGAGAGACTTTCTTTTTCATTCCAATTAGACTATGCGTTGAACAAGAATGAATATGGAAAAATAGCTATGCAAAACATTTATTCCTATAAGGTAAGTGATTTAGTATGAGCAGTTCAATAGTTATCAGCAACATGGACAAAATATCAGTACTCTTAATACTTACTATGAACTAAATACCATAAGCTTAATTTTTTTTCCAAATTAAAGACATTATTCTGTTTAAGATTGATGAAAGTATTCAGAAATTCAAAATACCTGTTTCTGTCTCCTAACTGGACGATCATTTCAGGTGAGACAGTATGTGATCAACTTCTGGAACCAGATTAAGAACTGATCAAGTTTACATCCAAAATTCAAGAGTTTGTTTAAGTTCAGAATTCAAAGGGAGTATTACGTTTTTCAGTTAATATTTCCCTGTGGAGCTCTATTTAGTTCATTTAATGAAATTGCAACTATCTTTTTTAACAGATAAAATATATTTATGTATAAACATACTTTCTAAAATATAAATCAAACATGAATTGAAATAAATCTGTCACAGTTAGATAAACACCGGACTTGGGGCCCTAATTATCTGTCTACATCTAAAAAAATTCAGTGGTAATGTGCTACCATTGTTTTTGATCATTGTTTTCCACAGTTTTCACCACCAGCAGAATTGGAATGAACTAGTTCTCCTATACTTGCTTAAATATTTCTTGGGGTAAATAAACAAGCACTGATTGCCAAGAAGAAGGGGCAAATTAATTCTTCATTATTTCTACAATGAGTGGGAGAGATGATGAAAAAAAGAC